GTTGCTCAGAAAACAATTTTCGATCCTTTACAAGCAATGGGAAAGATTTTAAAGGAAGGAAAATGGGTGCCACATCAACTGAACAAAAGACAAATGGAAAACCGAAAAGTTATCAGTAAAATGTTGCTTCAACGGCACAAAAGAAAGTCTTTTTTGCATCGAATTGTAACTGGTGATGAAAAGTGGATTTATTCTGAGAATCCCAAACGCACAAAATCATGGGTTGATCCAGGTCAACCATCCACATCGACTGCAAGGCCAAATCGCTTCGGAAAGAAGACAATGCTCTGCGTTTGGTGGGATCAGGAAGGTGTGATGTATTATGAGCTTCTAAAACCAGGTGAAACCGTTAATACTGATCGCTACCGACAACAGATAATCAATTTGAACCATGCTTTGATCTTAAAATGACCAAAATGTGCCAGAAGACACGGCAAAGTAATTTTGCTTCTGATGACGCACCATCACACACTTCAAAACCAGTTAAAGACACGTTTAAAGATCTTGCCTGGGAAGTATTAACCCACCCGCCGTATTCACCAGACCTTGCTCCTTCAGATTACCACTTGTTCCGATCGAGGGCACACGCACTTTCTGAGCAGCACTTTAAAACCGTACGGAGAAGTGGAAAATTGGGTCTCTGAATGGTTTGCCTCAAAACAAGAAAGGTTCTATTGGGACGGTATCCACAAATTACCTGAAAGATGTGGAAAATGTGCAGCTAGCAATGGACATTACTTTGAATAAAGCACTTTTGATGTTTCTCTTGAAATTAACATGTTTTCTTTGATTACAAAATCTGCATTATTAACTGTTACACCTGGTAATAAATCAATAATAATAATACAAGAATAAACTGTGTGTCAAGTACTCACAACTGTAAGCCTACTTTTGCCCCACCCTGTATATGGTGTCTTGGTCCATTGGGGTTGCTATAACACAATATCATGGACTGGGGTCCCACCATGTCTATGGTCAGCATGGTGCCTTAGTGCTGTGGTCGGCAAACCGCGGCTCTCGAGCCACATGTGGCTCTTTGGCCCCTTGAGTGTGACTCTTCCACAAAATACCACGTGCGGGCGTGCACGTACAGTGAGATTGAAACTTCGTGGCCCATGCGCAGAAGTCGGTATTTTGTGGAAGAGCCACACTCAAGGGGCCAAAGAGCCGCATGTGGCTCGCGAGCCGTGGTTTGCCGAGCCGCAGTTTGCTGCCCACTGCCTTAGTGCATTGGAGCTGCTATAACAGAATACCGTAGACTGGGTGGCTTATAAGCAACACACATTTCTTTCTCACAGTTCTGGAGGCTGAAAGTCCAAGGTCAAGGCACTGGCAGATTCAGAGCCTTGTGAGGACCCACTTCCTGGTTCATAGCCTGTACCTTCTCAATGTGTCCGCACAGGGAAGAAGGGGCCAGGGAGCTTTCTGAGGTTTCTTTTATTTATTTTTTAACTATGTCTTTTTATTGATCTTATGGAAAGGAAAGGAGAGGGAGAGAGAGAGAGAGACATGGGTGAGAGAGAATTGTGGATCGGCTGCCTCCTGCACACTCCCTACTGGGGATTGAGCCCGCAACCTGGGTATGTGCCCTGACCAGGAATCGAACTGGGGACCTCTTAGTTCATGGGTCGATGCTCAACCACCTCCCAAAGGCTCCACCTCCTAATACCTTCACCTTAAGGGTTAGGATTTCAATATATGACTCTTGGGGAGACATAAACATTCAGTCTCTAGGTGACAGTGTATGAAAAACAGCAAGAGCGTCTGAGGAACACAGACATTGTCCTCAGAAAGAACACCTTCCCAGCACCTGCGCTGTGGCCAGCTCTGTGCCGGTTGCTATGGGAACTCAGAGGCACCCCCTACGCCACTGCCATCCTCAGTGGGATTCAGAAAGGGCTCATGGGAGCTTGAGCTGTCAGGAGGAGCTTCTGATCAGGGTAGGACCTCAGATGGAGTCTTAAATGATGCACAGGAAGAATGGAAGCAGCCCTGGCTGGTGTGGCTCAGTGGATAGAGCATCGGTCCTGCCGACCAAAGGGTCCCGGGTTCGATTCAGGTCAAGGGCGAGTACCATGGCTGCAGGCTCCTCCCTGGCCCAGGCCCTGGTCAGGCACGTGCAGGAGGCAACTAATCGGTGTGTCTCTCTTACATCAATGTTTCTGTCTTTCCCTCTCCCTTCCACTCTCCCTAAAAATCAAGGGAAGAATATCCTCATAGCCAGTGATGGCGAACCTGTGACACGCGTGTCAGAGGTGACACGCGAACTCATTTTTTTGGTTGGTTTTCCTTTTTAAATGGCATTTAAATATACAAAATAAATATCAAAAATATAAGTCTTTGTTTTACTATGGTTGCAAAGATCAAAAAATTTCTATATGTGACACGGCACCAGAGTTAAGTTAGGGGTTTTCAAAATGCTGACACGCTGAGCTCAAAAGGTTCACCATCACTGTGACACAGCCTCAGGTGAGGATTAAAAAAGAATGGAACCATTCAGGCCTCAGCGCTGGATACAGACACTAGCAAACTCCCTCATGTCGGGTCTGGCTTTTGAATCCGTTGCCACAGACTGCAGTAGAGGGTACTGCGGGTTGGGCTCTCTGGGAGCAGACACTAAGATGGAGTTCAGGGTGTGTGTTCATGTCCTGACGCTGCTGTCACAAGTGGCTACAGAGTGGGTGGCCTGAGGCAATAGGCATTCATCCGCTCACAGTCCTGAAGGCCAGAATCTCGGATCAGTTTCACTGGACGAAGCGAGGTGTTGGGAAGGGTGGTCACTCCTCACCCTCCAGACCAGGCCAGAGGCGACTGTCTCAGACGCTCAGGCAGCCCGAGCCGCCCTCCCAGAGGCTCCTCCTGTCGGGGCTGCCCCTGGGATAGAGCCTGGAGTAGCAGAAAAGTGAGCTCCACAGGCAACTTAGTGGCCCTAAAATAGGGCTTTTCTTGGCCCTGTTTTTTAAAAAAATATTTTTATTGATTTCAGAGAGGAAGGGAAAGGGAGAGGGAGAGAGGGAAACATCAGTGATGAGAAGGAATCATGGATCGGCTGCCTCCTGCACGCCCCCTACTGGGGATGGAGTCTGCAACCCGGGCATGTGTCCTTGACCGGAATTGACTGGGACCCTTCAGTCCGCAGGCTGACGCTCTATCCACTGAGCCAAACTGGCTAGGGCAGCCCAGTTTTAAAGGGACCAGAATGGGGTAGACCAGGGCGAGAGTGAGAGAAGAGCATGGGCTGGTAGCCAGGGTTCTGGAACTAGCCCAGCAAGTCATTCTTCCTCCCTGGGCCTCAGTTGCACTGTCTGCTCTATGACGCCTGTGGAGCCAGGCACAGAGGCAACGAACCTCTGTGGTGATTTAGAAAAGAGGCTGAGAGGGCCCTAGGGGTGGGGAGCGGTCAGGGAGGCTGGGCAAAGGTCCAAAGAGCTCCCACTAATGTTTCAGGAGACGTGGCAAGAATATACATGGGGACCCACATCCCATATAGATAAATATTTAAAAGGTATAAAGCAAACTAACAAATATTTGATAAAATAACCTTTTGTTGGCTGACCTTGAGAAAACATTCTTAGGTCAAGTTTGAATGAAAATTCTCACTCTTCTTCTGAGTCCTACATTGGTGCCACAGTGTGGAGAGAGCTGGCCTGGGTCCAGCTGTGGCTACAGCGAGAATGTTCTACTCACAGACCTCTTGTTCCAGAGGGTGGAACTGGTGAGGTGCCCTGCTTTGAGCTTTAGAATGCATCTTTGTGGTTGGGTCGAGGCCACGCCTCCCATGGGCTGTTCCCTGCTGCAGTGTTATAAGGGCCGCCCATTATTGGAGACTTGGGACTCATGTGATGGTTAGCTTTGGCTCAAGGACACCCTGAAAGCCCTGCGGAAGCATCCTTCCACGTGTAAAAGACAGTCAGGATACTCCAGCCCAACCTTCAGGCTCAGACTTGCAACCCGGCCTGCTAGCTCTCCTCCTTGCCTCCCACACAGGCATCTTTCTTAATAGGACCCTTGACTGTTGCATCGTGTCTTGGCACTTGCTTCTCAGAGGATCTGCCCGAACACATTGGTCTCCAGCCCATGCCCCACTTCTTACCTCTGGATCCTTCCTATACTATGAGGTGCTTCACTCGCACCGGAATGGGGCCCCAGACCTGCAGTCTTCTTTTTTTTTTAAAAAAAATTCTTTATTGTTGAAAGTGTTACATATGTTCCCCCCCCCCCATTGATCTCTCCCCGCCTACTCCCCCCCGCCCCAGCACAGGCCCTCACCCACCTAGTGTCTGTGTCCATCGGTTATGCTTATATGCATGCATACAAGTCCTTTGGTTGATCTCTTACCTCCCCCCCCCGCCGCCAACCCTCCCCCACCCTCCCCTGTCTTCCCTCTGAGGTTTGTCGGTCTGTTCGATGCTTCTGTGTCTCTGGATCTATTTTTGTTCATCAGTTTGTGTTGTTCATTATATTCTGCCTGCAGTCTTCTTACCCTGAGGTGGAGTGTGTGTGTGTGTGTGTGGGGGGGGCAGCAGAAGAGCTAGCTCAGGGCCACGGGGAGCAGGAGTGGGCCCCTTTTGCCTGAGTGTAACCTAACATGCTACTGGCCAGGGGCCTCCCTCTCCACACCAGCCTCTGGACCTCGCTGTCTGTCTCATTCTCCCGCCCGTGTGCTTCTGAACACGCTTTATAGCAGCTGGGCTGAGGGAGGGAGGGAGCATGTGTCCCTGACTCTTCACATCTGTCTTCTTCCGCTAAGTCAAGAGTCTTGTGGAGCACAGAGGAAACAGGTTCAGAGGTTGAGTGGGTGTCCACACCTGGATCTTTCTCTTTTTAATCCTCACCAGAGGATATTCCCATTGATTCTTAGGGAGAGTGGGAGAGAGAGGGAGAGAGAGAGACAGAGAAACATCGATGTGAGAGAAACACATCGACTGGTTGCCTCCTGCATGTGCCCTGACCAGGCCTGAGCTGGGGAGGAGCCTTCAACCAAGGTACATGCCCTTGACCGGAATTGAACCTGGGACCCTTCGGTCCGCAGGCCGATGCTCTATCCACTGAGCCAAACTGGCAAGGGCCACATCTGGATCTTCTGATGGCCAACCCTGGCTCTTTTGTGATGTTCCAGCCAACGAGGCCAGTGCCAGTGCCGCACAGCCGCCCTCCGGTTGCTGGAATGTTCCTCAGTGCCTGGGAATGGAGAGCGGGGCATGTGGTCCCTGGAGGCCAGCCAGGCTCCAGCCCCTCAGAACTTGTCATTATACCTGCAGTCTGGGTAGCGGTAGGCGAATCTGGGGTCACAGGTTCTCAGGGGTCTCAAGATGCTCTTCAGCTGGCTGGCGGCCTCCAGGACTTCGGGGTCTGGGCGGGCGCCCTCCCCACACTTGGCCAGGAGGACGTCGATCTGCTCCTGCACCGGAGAGGGGAACTTCCCCTGGAGCAGCTGAGGCAGGACCTGCCGACACACCAGCACCAGGCTCTGCTTCTCGGGGATGGAGTCACAGGAGGGCAGCTCGGCCTGGCAGCCGGTGACCAGGCAGCTGAAGATGTCTTTGTTCTCTGCTGCCCTGGCGGCTGCTTGGCTGCCTAGAAGAGAAGCATGAACTGTTACACATCCTACAACCTGTTCTCCTGCGGGGAGATGCCACTCATTAGAATTGCTGGGCGAAGTGGTGTAGTCTCCAGCATCTCCTGTCACCAGGAGATTTAGGGCTCAGGGACCCAAAGGCCCTGCTAAGAACGACATGGGAGGAGCTCTCTTTGCTACAATTGGCCGAGGCCAGGGCCTGGAAACACACTTATCCCTCCCAGCAGTTGGGCTTACAACTATCGAGCTCACCCCCATCTTGCGATTCTCCCATTCTTACTATTAAATTAGGGAAATCAGGAAATACAAAGTCGGGAGAAAGAACAGGTAAACCAGAATATGTGTTCAATGGGGCTGGCATTCCGTGGTTTACATATCCCGAATATTCTGGAATCGGCCTCATTTCTTCTAATGAAAGCAAACCAGGAAATGAGTTAGTGTGGTTTAATTGGTCTGTCTTTGTAGGCTTTCTCATGAAAAGTCCTCTGTCGCCCGGCCCGTGTGGCTCAGTGGTTGAGCATCAACCTAGGAACCAGGAGGCCACGGTTCGATTCCCGGCCAGGGTTGTGGGCTCGATCCCCAGTGTGGGGCATGCAGGAGGCAGCCAATCCATGATTCTCTCTCATCATGGATGTTTCTCTCTCTCTCTCCCTCTCCCTTCCTCTCTGACATCAATAAAAATATATGAAGAAATTAAAATAAAAAGTCCTCTGTCCTATCACTGAACTCACAACACTCGGTTACCGTTAGAGACTGGGAGGCTCCAAGGCCTCCAGGACCCCGATGAGCCGGTGCTCACCGTGGAAAACATGAGTCACTCCTAGACCTCATGCGGTGCCATGCTTTTTAATTGGAAACTTTCTAAAAGGCAAAGGTGCCAAAATGGATTGCAACGTGTACCAGTGGCTCAGCCAGATCATTAAGTTTCAGATAAAGGCTGAAAGCATCTGATGAGCAAGGCATTGAGAGGGACATGGATCCAGGGGTGGTGTGTGTGTGAGGAAGGGCACGGCAGGGCGGGTCCCCGACC